CGTTGTTGGGCGGTTATTTCTCCCAGTGGATTTTGCTTTCTGGTTTTAACGTTCAGCATATGTGTGACAGGATTGGAAGATATTTCGCTACATCTCTTATCGATTCGGCGCCGTGTCCTCGTCGTCGTCGTCGTCGTCGTGGTCGTGGTCGTGGTCGTGGTCGTGGTCCTGGTCCTGGTCCTGGTCGCGGTCGTGGTCGTGGTCGTCGTCGTCGTCGTCGTCGTCGTCGTCGTCGTCGTCGTCGTCGTCGTCGTCGTCGTCGTCGTCGTCTTCGTATAGGGAAGGGACCCGAATCCCTGGGAATCCATCGGAATCTTAAGGGGATTCTCGGAGTCCTAGGAAGCACAGGGGACCTCAGCAGTGGCCGCCGCGGGGGGGGGATTAGTTTCCCAGTATTGTTTCAGGTCCCAGTCAGTCAATCAGCTGGCGCAAACAATTATTAGTTTTCATTCAGAAATGGGCTCATCAAGGACCCTTCGCGTTGCACCCTCCCTCCCCTGCAGCTCTGTCCGACATGGACGAGCTCCGCGCGCTCTCGGAGCGGCAGTTGCATGCCGCCGTGCAGAGGCAGCTTTACTTCAAGGCGCAAGCGGGGGTGGGTGGTCACCATCGGAGGCGCCTTCTGCACTTCCCCTGGAACGCCTTCCTGGTTGAGTTGAGCACCACCCGACATTTCGCCGCGATCTTCGCGCGGTCCCTCTCTGCGACAGGGCCGCACCTCTTAGCTAGTTGGGCTCGCCGATGGATGCCGGCATCCCGCTGGCCCCTACTGCCCACACCTTCGCGACCGATGCTGGCGGCGTGGATCCCCCCGCCGGCGTTGGCGCTTGGGGGGGTCCCCCCCCGGAGCCCCGCTGCAGTCAGAGACCTCGGTCGGCACCCGGGCCCAACAGGGGTCGGCGCGGCAGGCCCCGACCCGCCGACGAGGGCGCGGGACTGGCCGCGGCGGGCGCGCCCCAGCAGCGCTCCCCCAGCCCGGGCGCTCAGCAGGACGGGCCCGCAACGCGCACCTGGCGCCCACGGTCGTAGGCCCAGTCCTCTTGGCCCCCCCGCCGGACCCGCGGAGCCCTTCAGCCACCTCCACGGCATCCCCGTTCCCGAGCTCGCTCACCACGACGAGGCATGCGTCGACAAGCACTTTATCCAGCTGGGCTTCGTGCAGACCGCCATGTGGCAGGACTTCCGCTCAAGCACCACCAGGTGAAGCAGGCCGACCCTTCGCTATTCCCCAGCCAGCTCCTCACCAACTTCCTCGAGCGCGCATCTGGCCACAAAATAAGAAAGGCGCCCACCCAGCCGACAGTCCCGGCGACCGGCTGCCCTCCCGGGTACGACCCAGACGCCGCCTTCCCGCCTCCAGATCTCCTGACGCGCCTTGCCGACGGCCAGGCCCTCGCTGGCCAGCCGGATATCTGGCGCGAGTTCCTCCATGTGGCCTTTCCGCCGGGGGCACCCGCCCTCCGCCTCGACCCCAGGCTCAACCTACTTGAGCTCGTGGCCGCGGCCGTGGACGCGTCGAAGGGCGCCGGCTGGACGGCTGGCGGACCCTGACGCTCTCAGAGCAGCGCAAGCTCGTCTCGGGCGCAGCCCGAGGTCGGCCGCCGTACCCCCGTATGGGGCGCCGCCCTCCCTGGCCCTACCTCGACATCCCCAGCCCCAAGCGCAGGGGGGACCGGGGTCGACGCCTCATCCCCTGTGCAGCGAGTGCTCTGGGCATGCCAGGCCAGTCGCCCAGCGTCCCATCGGTGCCGCTGCCGCCAGGAGGGCCACGCCCGCCCACCACAGGGCGGCTTCTTCTGGCACGTCGCCGAAGGAGGTTTGCGCCGCGCAGCGGAGGACCTCTGGTCCCGACCTAGAAGCAGCCCGGCCCCTTTGCTGCCGCCGCCGCCGCCTGCCCCCCCAGCCGTCCCCCGCCCGCTTCAAGCCCCGCGGCCCTCGCGGTCGTGCGAGCGGACACCGAAGGGTGCGACTTCAAGGCGGTCCTGGCCTCCTCTGCCGTCCCCGCCGTCAAGAGGCGCAGCGCCCAGATGGATCGCGGCGCGCGCGCGCGCCCAGGTCCGAGTGGAAGCCGTCGCTTCCCAAGGCTCACGCCGACCTTCAAGTTTACGCGCGCGGGCGTCCAGGCGACCCCAGCCTCCCCCTGCCTTGCGCTGCTCCAAGCGCGCCGCGTCCCTCCCAGTAGCCCGCGCACCTGCGCCGTGGATTTCCTCGCGCTGGGGGCACCATCGGTGTCAGCTCTTCGCCCGCCCCCCAGGTCAGGGCACAATCCAGCGGGGTTCACGATGCCCCTGTCATGGCCCCTCCACCCAAGCAGCGGGCCCTAGCTGGGGGGCACGAGGGCGATCTCCCTGTGAACACGGACGCTCTGGTCTTCCGGTATCCTCATCAACTGCGTATCGCTAACGGTCCATTCGCAGGCGACGGTAGGGAGCCCATTCTCGACCTCGACATTTACATGGCCGACCAGTTCAGCATTTTCCTGGTCGAGCTCCCCACCCAGTTAAAGCATCCGGGAGCGTATGTTTCTGCCGGAGACGCCAGCTCGCAGAAGCGGGCTCCCTCCAGGGACCTCTCGCGGCCGAGCCGCCCTGCTCGCTCTAAGCGCTAGCCATGAGCGGCTTCGCGCCCCTTCTCTTGCAGCTTCGCGCTGTTGGCGCCCCCCCGCCCAGTCTTCCCGCTGCAGGATTGTCGTGGTGCTCCCGCGTCCTCCGTCGTCTCCTCCACCACGGGCAGCTCGCCCGACAGCCCGGCGAGCCGGGTTTCATCCCAGGCGCGCTCTCCGCGCCCCGTCGGTGCCGGTCGTCGGTGCTGCCGTCCCCGTCTTCGGACGTTGTCTTAATTTTCTCTTTCCCCACCCAGCCCTAGTGGTGACGTGCGGTCGATCCAATGCGGTCCCGCGGCCGTGGGCCCGGCCGCGCGCGTGAGCTCAGTGCCGTCTGCTCGACTTGCTCCGCCTCATCGCTGCGCGCGAGGCCGCGATCGCCAACATACATACGCGTGTGTGTGTGTGTGTGTGTGTGTGTGTGTGTGTGTGTGTGCGTGCGTGTGTGTGTGTGCTTGTGCGTGTGTGAACTCTCCTCGGCTGGCTCCTCCCCCTCTTCGTGTCTTGCCTTGCCCTTGTGTTGTGCGGTGTCCCCTTCCTTCCCCTCGGCAGGCCCGCGCCCCTCGTGTCCCTCCGCCGCCTGCCCCTCGGCTCTCCGCCGTCGCTCCTCGCTCCTCGCTTCTCCCTCTCTTCGCTTTGCCCCCCTGCATCTGGTCTTGCTGGCCCCTGGTCGTCCCACTTCAGGAGGGGGAAAAACACACGGACACAGTTAATCGTCGATTCCCTCCCAAAATATGGGAAAACATGGGAAGTGGGGCGAAGGCAAAAATCCAGAAAATATGGCAAAATATAGGGAATCCTGCTATTTGTGTGTCTATTCATTCGTGTGTCCTGGGGCCCCTTCACTCTGGTCTTGCTGGCCCCTGGCCGTCCTGCTCCTGGCTGGCTTTGGCCCCTGCGATCGTGCGAGCTCCTCGACCGCCGCCGCGGCTCCGCCGGCCCGGCGGCTGCTCGTCCCACCCCGCGGGGGGCCGACGGCTCTGCCCGCGCTCGCCACTGCGCGCGTGGGTTGACAACATGGCGAGTCGCGCTGCCGCTGACGACCGAGAAGCGCGCGCGCGTGTGTTTGCGTGTGTGTGTGTGTGTGTGTGTGTGCGTGTGTCACCACCCACCAAACCACCCCAACGCAACCCGAAGGCTCAAATTTACCCCCGATTTCCAGTGGGGGGGGGGTCGGGAAACATCGGAAAAAGCACATATGGAACACTTGCCCCCCCCAACACGAAATTCGGGTCTTCGGGTTGGGTTGGGGTGGTCTGGTAGGTAGTCAATTGAGGGGCGCTCATGATTCGGCTGTCGGGGATGCTGTCATGTCGGCGGCGACGGAGAAGGACAGCAGCCAGAGGATGCCGATCATGATTGCTTGTTGCGTTAACTATACGATTCGAAGCCGAAGCTACCGCCCCACCGTTGCTAGCAAAGCGTTCGATGGGGAGCACGCGATCGTGGGATTTGACATCTGGCTGGAGAAGTCTCGTCCAAGCATTTTCGCAATCGAAGAACGACAACCTTGGGATTCTTTGGATGTATGGGAAATGTGCAACTCATGTCGATTTGGATTTCGCTCACAAGGCTCTCAGTACATATTCCTGTCCGCATCAGCTTCATCTGTGGGGCTTCTGGGCCTCACCGCCGTCCGAAGGCCAGAGTTGCGGTAACGTTTTTGGAACCAGCAAGACCTACGGCGTCCAGGCCAATCAGAAAAGCGGCAGGTCTAACCGCATCCCGATCGTGTTGTTCCTGCTCGGGCCATGGCCTTCTCGATAGTTGCTCCAAGTTGCGGTTTTGGCTCGAGATGTCGCGGCAGGATTCGGGATGCATAATCATGACGCTTCTCTGTAATTCTGTTGGTTGTGCTCACGTGCTTGGGATCAGTAAGCGTACTCCTGTGTTTCTACCCACTGCTGTAGCGCGAAGTGTTTCGCCATCCCCATCGAGCCGAGTCTTCGCAACGCAAAGCCGGATTGTGCCCATGGTGAGCTCATTGGGCCGCATCGAGGACACACGAGGAACAATTAGTTGTGGTCATCTCAACGCAGCTGGATTGTACACGGTCCGGCTCAGCGGTCGCAGTTGGCGGGTTCATCGTCTTGTCGCACGTGCTTTTCTCGGGCACCCTCCTTCGCCAAGTCATTGTAATGTCGCCCACAAAGACGGGGACAAAACCAATAACAAGGTCAGCAATTTGCAGTACATGACCCTGCCTGAGTGCATGCGTGAGTTTCACAAGCGTTGTCGAAGCCAGTGCCGCATGCTCGCAACATCGAAGCCGTTGCTTGTTCGAGCTCGGGGATCGATTGAATGGTCGCTCTATCCCTCGATGGCCGAAGTTGCGCGCCAACTGAATGTAGATGTAGCGCGGGTTCGTGTAGCCTGCCAGAGCAGGCCAATACACATC